TTTCATTATCTCAAATTCTTCATACTCCTTTTTTGCATTACAATTTACTTTCTATTTCCAAATTAACAAAAGATAACAAAATCTCTATTCTTTTTTACTCTTCTGGTTTTATCATTAAGGACCTGACGACGCATCAAATACTGCTTCAAGGGCCCTGTGAGAATGGTCTCTATCCCATTCGTATCACTCCGCAATCCTCTTCAGATGTTGTACTGGCTGCAGTCAAGCCGACAACATCTACTTGGCATCACCGGTTGGGTCACCCCAACGACCGTGTTCTGAATTACATAGCCAAATGTAACCCATTTCTTAGAATAAAAACTGCTCAATTTTCTTGTTCTTCTTGTCACCAAGCTAAAGCTCATAAACTTGTTTTTCCGAATTCTACTAGTCGGCATTCTACTATTCTGTCTTTAATTCATTGTGATATTTGGGGATCGGCCCCTGTGCCTTCGGTTCAAGGTTATCGATATTACGTTTTGTTTGTAGATGATTACTCCAGATTTTCTTGGATTTTTCCCATGAAACATAAATCTGAGGTTTACAATATTTTCGTTACTTTTAAAATCCAGATTGAAAAATACAGTTCCCAATCTATCAAAAATCTGCGATCCGACGGGGGAATTGAATTTCTCAATCAAGATTTCAAATCTTTTTTACGTAACAATGGTATAGCTCATCAGGTCTCATGTCCTTACACACCGGAGCAGAATGGGGTGGCCGAACGTAAGCATCGTCATATTATTGAAACCACCCGCACGTTACTTACAACTGCTTCGGTCCCTTACAAGTATTGGCCTGATGCCACGCTTACAGCTGTTTATCTTATAAACTCTCCCCACACCCAACACTAACCAGCTTACTCCTTTTGAGATGTTACACAAATCCAAACCCAATTACACTCATCTTAGGGTATTTGGGTGTGCTTGTTTTCCGTTATCCCCACCGCAATCCCGGCACAAACTGCAAAACAAATCCAAGCTATCTATTTTTCTTGGGTATTCGGATACCTATAAGGGCTACAAATGCTTGGATCCCGCTACCAACAAAGTCCACATGTCCAGAAACTTAACATTTGATGAAAACCAATTTCCTTTCAGTACATTCACCACTGGATTACACATCCCTAAAGACCAATCTCCTACTCTTCCACCCAAATTTCTTGTCCCTGTATCCATCCCTACAGCACCCTCTCGGCCAACACCCACTGCTCCGCTGCCCAGTTTGTCCATAACAAACTCTACTCCTCCTTCGTCTTCCAGCAGTCACACTGACATTCCCTCATCCCACTCCCCCTCTCGGCAGCACAATCCGCATCATCATATGATTACGAGAAACAAAACTGGGAATCTAAAACCTGTGGTTCGTTTAAACCTTTTGCATTCCCAGACTGCTTCTACATCTGTTGTTCCTGAAGCTCCAACTTCATTCACGGAAGCATTTAAATATCCCGAATGGCGGGCGGCAATGGCCTCTGAATTTTTTGCACTTCAACAACAAGGGACATGGACTCTAATTCAACCTCCTCCTGGTGCATCCATATTGGGTTGTAAATGGACTTACAGAACCAAATTCAATGCCGATGGATCCATAGCAAAATACAAAGCCCGTCTAGTGGCTCTGGGCAATCATCAGGAATTTGGTTTAGATTACACCGAAACGTTTAGCCCTGTTGCTAAACTCCCTACAATCAGAATTATGCTTGCTATTGCTTTATATCATAACTGGCAGATCCATCTGCTCGACGTTGCAAATGCTTTTCTTCATGGAAAGCTAAATGAGGAGGTTTTCATGGCCCAACCTAAAGGATTTGAAGATTCTGTTCATCCTCAGTACGTGTGTTGTCTCAAGAAGGCTATATACGGTCTTAAGCAAGCACCGCGTCTCTGGTATAACACTTTCACTAAATTTCTTCTTACAATTGGATTTACCCATAGCACAGTCGATCCATCTCTCCTCATATTTCAGCAAAACAACATTCGTATCTTTTTACTTGTATATGTCGACGACATATTGGTTACCGATAATAACAATGATGCTATCTCTTCAATACTTACCAAGCTTAGTAATAATTTTTCCATGAAGAATTTAGGATCCGTTCATGAATTTATCGGCATTCGCATTGACAAACATAAGGATTCCTATTTTCTTTCTCAGAAAAAATATGCTTACTCTCTTCTCCAGCTTACAGGACTCACTACGTGTAATCCGCTTGTAAATCCCACGGTTACAAAATTTCCCAGCACCTGTTCGCTGGATCCAAAATTCTCCGACCCTGCTCTCTACAGACGCATTACAGGATCCCTCCAGTATCTCACCCTTACTCGGCCCGACATAGCCTACAGCGTGAATCAGTTATCTCAACACATGCACGATCCTCAGAATCAACACTTCTATATGCTCAAACGACTACTACGATACATAAAAGGTACCCTGGATTTCGGCATACCCATTACCAAATCTAATCTTCTTCTTACTTCATTTTCAGGCGCCGATTGGGCTGGAGATCCGGACTCCCGAAAATCAACTTCGGGATACTGTTTGTTTCTTGGAGACACGATCATAGCCTGGACCGTCAAAAAGCAAACCACCGTAGCCCGATCTTCCACCGAATCTGAATATCGCGCATTGGCTGCACTTACCGCGAACGTCATCTGGATCCGTCGCCTTCTCTCTGATTTTGGTTTCTCACAGTCGGTTCCAACCGATATGTTCTGCGACAACACATCTGCTATAGCACTCGCCAACAATCCTGTCTTTCATGCCCGCACCAAACATATCGAAATTGATCAGAAGTTTCTCCGAGACCACATACAGCAAAATCATATTCGTCTACTTCCGATTAGTACCATTGATCAAACTGCAGATATTCTCACAAAAGCCTTGTCTACAGCTCGATTTCTCAAACTCAGAAACAAACTGACGGTCTTTCAAGATCCATCAGTTTGCCCGGGGATATTAGAACAAGACATTAAATAGATTTATTACTGAGCTGATGTGGCTGTACACTATTGGGTAGTTACTTTATTTTGTACTATCCGAACTCTATATATATCTGCTGTGATACCGTAGTAAGGACATCAAATAAATCTATTCTTTTCTGTTCTTCATTTGCCTCGTCTTCTTGCTCTGGACCAAAGATTCAGTTTCTTCACATAAACCACGCACTCTATTAGCTCAAATTTTATAGCATGCAAACCTCCATATGAAACAGAAGTTTAAATTAGATATATCACGACCTGTGCTCCTAGAGAGTATATGGGAACTATGTTAAACTCATATATTGTTAAGTACAACACCTAATAGAAATAGCAATATCCTTTCTACTATTCTTGATAAAAATTAACCTAATGAAATTCACTATATAACCAATGGAAACCCTAACTCATGGAAGGTTTCATGGTTCAAACAATAGCTTCGCAGCTCAAAATCAGGGTTCTTATGATTGGCTTCTGGAAAGATAAAGGAGAGCGGACAAATTAGTTGACATCAAAGAAACCTTCTTTTTGGTGGGAACTTCGAAGATTAAAGCTATATGATACTTTACGTTCTAGTCGACAACAAGATGAAGAAATGAGAATCTAGAAAAAGAAAGAATGGGAACAATCAGAACGAGGAATAGAGGAGCATGGTGAGACTGAGATACCTGGGTGTCAATGCCCAAGAGCGTGAACTGGGGAACATCAAGTAGGAGAAGAGTTCCCCCCTTCTTTACCAGCTCAAGTGCCGTTTCTCGATCCAGGCCGGAAGCCATGATCACGGACTCTGTCTACCTCTGTCGCAGCGATGGCGCGGACACTAGGTCCGAAATCAATCAATAAGGGAAATTTACATCATACCATTTTATACCATCTTATTTACATATCTAACACCCAAAACTTTAATATTACATGCATATCATCCTATAATATTTTAATATCAAATATACCACTCATATTTACTTCCTACCACTCATATATTTCATTTCTATCACTCATATTTGATATGAAAATGAACTATGGATGGCATGTATATAATATTAAAGTTTTAGGTGTTAAATATGTAAATAGAATAGTATATGATGATATGTATGTAAATCTTCCTTAAAAAAAAGGCCAGGAAGATTCAAGAGAAAGAAAATGACGAGAGTAAGTGAGAATATATATATTTATTTAGAGACTGTTTGAGTTATTTTATTTAATATATTTCTCATTTTAAAATATTTTTAAAATCACTTAAAGCATTTCAATTTTTTTAAAAAAATATTATTAAGCCAGTAACCATCATCATCAAGCGTCATTATTATTATATAAATTAATTTATTCAATATGCAATAAAATTAAAAATATATATTATACATTATAACAAAATATAAATAAAATAAAATCAAAATAAATATATGTACGCCCAACATTTTAACCAATTTTACAACAAATATTAAAATTAGATTCAAAAACAATTATTTTAAAAAATTGCAACTAATAAATAATTAAAGAATAAAACCCCCTAGGCCCTGTTAGATCATTCTGATATTTTTACATTTTTTATTTTTTTAATTATTTTTTTATTTTATGTTATACATGCTTTAACATAAATTAAAGACATATTTAACAATTTTCACACGTTTACTATTTTTTAAAATGAAACATAAAAAAAAAAAAATTATCTAACCATGTGATTCCACACGAAAAGAACGCCAGCAGCCTTCTCTTCTGTCCAATGGGGTTTGGCTCTTCTAATGCTTTCTTTGGACAACTTTTTGATTGCTTAAAAAAAAAATTCTAATACATAAACTTTTAATTTAAAAAAATTAATTAATTTTTTTAAAAAAAAAAATATTAAGAAAGTTGTCTCAAGTTATAAACACAACTTAAACTTTTTTCATGTTTTTTTAACAAATTAATTAATTAAAAAATACAAATAAATAAATTTTATTTTTTGAAATAATATATATACATCAAGCATGCCCCAAGTGATTAGAACAGTTCCATTGTAAATAAAAAATATAACAAAACAAAGTATGCTTCAAAAATCAATGCCTCCATTTCACAGAAAAACAACTTTATAAATTGGACAAACACCAAACTGAATAATATCAAAGCTCTACACAAATTTTGACCATCATCAAACACTCCTACAGAAACAAAAGACCTTTCAACTTCTATTCAGTCCACAAAATGAATTGCTTACTAATATTTACTAAAAAGAACTAACCATACAACTTTACAAAGGAAGATGTTACAGGACATAAATGTCTACAGGACCTGTGAGTCTTCAATGGAGTTGGAATTTCTTCAGAAAATGATCACTACTTTATAGCCAACCCTTTCACTGCCTCCACAAAAAGCTGAAAATCAGTCATTCAATGTTAGAATTAGAAACACTCTGCAAATATCATAACTCAACCGTCTCAGTTTTACGAGAGATTATTAAGTGCGGTGTCCGGACCGTCCGGAGATGAATCCGGACGCACCATGTCACCCGGATGCAATGGGCCCCGGGTGACATGACACGTCCATATTCACTGGCACATCCGAATTCGCCTCCGAACGAATCCAAACGCCGTCCGTAATAATTTTTCCAGTTTTACAAACAAATAAATAAACAGTACAAGCTCATATAAAGCTAAGGGGAAACAAAAGGGATTACCTTAGATGGTCCATGTGGGAATAGAGTACTTCTAGTTTTTGTTTTCTCAATCACACACATCAGTTTTTCTTCAGAGTTTTCAGCCTGGTTTTCTTCTTGAATCCTTCCTTTACTTCGAAGATTGTATGTTTTTCTATTCGAAATATCGGTAACTGGAGTAGCTTGGTTCTTTTGTTCCTTAATGGCGCTCCTGGTCTCATCTTTCCTTGCAAACTGAGTCGCTGCAGCTCGAGCACCGGCTATGGCTGCACTGACACTTTTCGACTTCTCCACTTCAGATGCTTTGGAACTGCTAGACATAAGTGATCCCGGCTTTAGTGACAAGGAGTTCTGAGGATCAGGCAATGGAAACTTGACTGGAAGAGGGCTTTTAATTGCAGTGAGACCTCGTACTGCTGCCTCATAGATCTGGGAGATCAATTATACAATAGTTAAATTACATCAAACATATCATTAATACATACTAATATAAAATAAAATACATAATTTTATGTGTATATTTTGATGTGATGCATAGGGGTGTCAATATTTGACGTGACCAGAAAACCCGACTCGAACTCGACCCGAAAATTTAGGGTTATGGTCAACCAGGACCGGAAACAGGTCGGGTTCTAGTTTAGCAAATCGACCCGTATCAAAAATCGGGTCGAGTTCGGGTTGACCCAATAACCCAAAATTAACCTGATTTTGACTTGTTTTGACCCGAAAACCCATTTTTGAACCGGGAAACCCGAGATTGACACGTTTTTTTAACCCGGAAATCGGAGATTTACCCATTTTTGATCCGAAAATCAGCATTTTTTGTCAGTCCCGAATCATTCGGGTTGACCCGAATAGTGTCAGGCAGGTTTCGGATTCGACTCGACCCGTGACCCGAAATTAACACCCCCAGTGATGCATCGATTAGAGTGTTAAACAGGTAAATTCAAAGTAAAATTCATAAGAGTTTTTGTGTATGTATGTAGATAGGACTGTAACATACCTTGTTTTCTAGATTATATACGCCTTGGTAGCCTCGCATTTCAAAAGGAACTATTAATTTCTGCATGCATGTTCAAAAGAGCAAAAAATAACAGATAAGAAAAATCATTTGCTTCAGATGTTCATAAAACTGAAGAAGTTGAAACAAAACATACTTGTGGTTTTTCACAGAGCCAACAGAACCCTGGAAAGGCTTCTAACCTGACCTGTAAACAATTGGTGCAGATTATTAAATCATGGAAGAAGACAAGAAATCCAAGTAAGTTGGCGATTTATGATAAAAAAACAGAAATAATCATGTTGTATAATGAAACCTACCGATTCAGGAACTTCTTTCCAGCCAGCCAGCTCTTCACTTCTCAGACAACCAACAATTTCTACACAGCCTATGCAGAAACAATCATTCTTATAAAATAATCTTAGGTAGGCTGTAGAAACAATCATTCTTATAAAATAATCTTAGGTATGAAATGCCGCAGAAACCATAAAGTTATACATCAATGGTGATTAAGGTTTTGTTTTGGACGACTTTCTTACTACTTCTTAAAGCAGCTTTACAGTACAAAAATTAAAATTTGTATACTAAAAAGCCGCTTTAAGAAGCAGTAAGAAAGTTGTCCCAGACGAAGCCTACGTAACATATATGATGAAATTAACTATACTAGTGGTGCAAAATCTCAAATATACCACAGATCATCACCAAAGTGAGGAGTCTGGGATTCAAACAGGGTCAATAAGTTAGGTGACACAAAAATTGTAATTAAAATAGAGCAATTTAAGCATGCAAAACAGGAACTAAGTATTGATATACACCATGCATGTTCAAAATGTCAAAATTGGAAATTGGACTTGTATGTGGAGTTAATAAGTTATGTAGCACTAAACAGCATAACAGTAATCTCTTGTAGATATTAAACCTAAGAAAATTTACTTACAAAGGTTATAAAATGGTGGCACTTTGATAGAAAGTGTCATAAGAAATTTAAGAAGAAAAACACACCAGTACTTTTTTATTGAAAAGACTAAGAAGAAAAATATAAGATACAATTGGATCTTAAATTGTAGAGGAAGATCCGGCTCTCCCAAATCTCTAGCTGTCGGCTAGAGCCAACTCAACCTAAGAAAAATTAATTCCAACAAAATCAATCGTAATCTGAAATCACCCCATAGTTAGTCTTAAATAGGCTCCCCTAATTCCCTCCCAAAAGGCCCATTTTCCTAAATAATTCCCTCTCATATTTAAATTCAATTAATTTATTTCTCTAATTAATTCCCTCTCAATTGTAATTAAAATTTTCCTAAATAAATCCCCCATTGATTTATCCTTACATAATTAATATTATTATGTAATATTAACTCCGATGAGCTTTTCCTAAATAAATCACCATAGTAAGAAGTTTCAGTTCAAATCATAGTGAGAAGTTTCAATTCAAATCATGGCTGAGAAAAACATTTCCAAACTGATGAAAATCTTCTAATAAAAAATTCATATGATAGAAATTTCAAATATAGTATTCTACATAAAAACAATAAAAAATCAAAAACTAAACTGAAACACAGTAGGAACATAATTCAGATATGCCTACCTAAAAGACGTGAGACTGGATAGTGCTCTGGAAACTTGATATCAGTGGCCCCATCCAAGGCATATATTTCCCTGTAGAACTTCTCCATTGCTTTGATTGTGTCCGGCTCTGGAACTTTTGAAGCCGCGTGAATCCATAGCCGGCCTTCAAAACAAAATTCAACAACAATCCAGTTATACAAAACATGGCTGCGCCACCAAGGACCAATTTAATGAAACACAGAAGAGCTAAAAATCAGAACTAGTATTTAAAACTATTCCGATTCAAATCAAGGAATAGAGAAGATTTGTGCGGTGATTTGTTCAGCTTGGCAACAAATTAGCAATTACTAACTGCATATTCCTTTAGGTTAAATAGACTAATCATTGCGTAAATGGAACACATTAAGGCTTTGTTTGGCACGGCTTTCTTTCTGTTTTTTAAAGCATCTTCCTAGTACAAAAATTTTAATTTTTATACTAAGAAACTGCTTTAAGACTAAGAAACTGCTTTAAGAAGCAATAAGAAAGCAGTCCCAAATGAAGCCTAAGATTTTATTTGGGACGGTTTTTTTACTGCTTCTTAAAGCAGCTTTTTAGTACAAAAAGTAAACCCTAAATTTTAATTTTTGTACTAGAAAGTTAATTTTAAGAAGTAATAAAAAAGCAATCTCAAATGAAGCCTAAGTGTTAACATTACATAAATTAATGAATATGATAAGAATAGCAATTCTACCACTTTTCAGATGATGTGTTACTAATTTGGGGGATTTCCATATATACCATTTTATTTCATACTATTTATATATTTATCACCTAAAATTTTAATATTACATGATTACCACCCATATAACAAATATACGTGCATGAAATGAAATATTAAAGTTTATAACATGGTATGGGTGGTAAGAATGAAATATAGTAGTGATATATTTGATATTAAAATTTTATTTGAGTGACAGAAATGTAATATTAAAATTTTAGGTGTTAAATATGTAAATATCATTAAATAAAATGATATGTATGTAAATCCCTAGTAATCTTCCCCATGATGGTCTTCCGTTATTAAACTGCCGCACTATCTCCGCTACCTACGGCTCGTGCAGTTAGTGGAATAAAAGTGCTTAACAATATCAATCAACCTAAACAATAAATAATTGATTAATAATTAACAAGCCTAATTAAGGCGATTAACATAAAATCTAGCAATAGGTTGGGCGGCGGCGGCGGTTCTGATACCCTCCGATAGGCCGATTTCGTTAAGGAACGGGGGGACGGCGGCGGGGACTCTCGCCAACCCTATTGTGCAGCCGTAGCAGCTCGGGACAGAAATTTAGGGCATCCAATGTCAAAGATGGAAAATAATACAGTAGAAAAGAAAGCCTACCAGTGAGAGGAGCAGGCCATGATCGTCCCTCGATTCTCTTGATGCCGTGGATCAAGAGCGAAGCCCAGGGCTGATGCATCGTCAGACATGGATTCCGATATCGACCGCCTCCGCGACCGCTGCCGCCGCCGCCTTTTCCGTTCATCTCTCCACCGTGGAAGCAAAGCGAAGAAGACGGAAGATTTGAAGGTATGTTAATAAATCAAGAATCTTGCTGGAATTCTATGGAAAGCTACGAGCTTGGAAGAAGGGGAGGGATCGCGTTTCTATTTAAGAAGCTCGGGAAAAGAATATCTTGCTAAATATAGTTTGTTACTAAATTTAAGGAGCGGTAGTCGCAAAATCAGATGAAAATATATGAAATTTTTTATTTTGTATGCTTCATAATGCACTATTTTTAATTACTATAATATTTTCATTCAATTAATTTTCATTTAAGTTAATTTTAAGACAAAATAAAAAGTAAATGTTAATTTGAGATTATTGTGATTTTTTTATAAAGATAATTATGATGTTTATGATATTATAAATAATTTTTTTAATCAAACATATTTTTAATAGCTCTCCCACATAAATAAATCTAGTTATAAAAAATAATTTTTCTTCAAAAAATTTTTTAAAAATTGCGAGAATGTAGCTAGTAACCAAATGAAAATATTATCTCTGTCTACAAATCTGGAGTCTTTTTTTAACTATATTCCCCTTAGAATAATCATTATAAACATTCAGATGTTTCGTTCTCTTGCCATGAGATTCTTTCTTTTTTTGCTTAAAATTTATTCATAATAAGGATAAGGTAAGAAGGATGCACCTATAGCTCAAAAGTTTAGAAGAAGTAGTAGAATTATGCTTCATTTGGGACAGCTTTCATATTGTTTATCAAAGTAACTTTTTAATATAAAAATTTAATTTTTTGAATAATAAAACAACTTTAAGAAGCAGTAAACAATCATCCCAAACAAAATGTTTGACTTCAATAGAAGACTAATAGACATTTTCAATACAATTAAATAGGCTTGTACAATCTATCTTCCTTTGAACTTGAAGGAGATATGTCATGTTCTTGCACCATAATATAAAACATCAAAATTTTCCAACATAAGTAGCGCTTGAATACTAGCTTGTATATTTCTCCTATATTCATTCAACTATGATGCAAACTAAGGTTTTGTTTGAGACAACTTTCTTACTGCTTCTCAAAACAGCTTTCTAGTACACATTAATTTTTTTTTACTAAAAAATTATTTTAAGAACCAATAATAAAGTCGTCCCAAACGAAGCCCGAGTTAAATTTTAAACTCACTTGTTATATCTTTGAGTTTGACTCGTTTAAATTTCATTTCATTCTATTTCGAATTGTGTTTAAATTTGTCCATAAGCATCATAATCATATTCGATTGATTTTAACTCAACAAGCTTGTTACGTTCGTTTTCAACTCAAATTTAACTCGAATTATGAATAAATATCAAATATTTTAATATGTGCTATACTTCTATAAAATATCCATGGACCTTATGAGCTAGAAAGTTAGCACAATCATACTTGTTTAGATTTGGTGACATGCATCAAAACGTGTTTGCTCTATGGATGCCAAAGAGAAGGGCCATCAACAAGATCAATCGTGACTTATTGTATAAATAATTAAGGATAAGATTAATTAATTAGACCAACATTAAATTTAAATAAAATAATACATAATTTTAAGAGATAATACTCGATTGAACATCACTTTGACCCTTCAGGGTCACGTGTAGTTCCTTTTTGAATTTGACTATGATACTCATGATGAAGTTTATAGTTTTGTAATATGAACATATTAGTGAATGATATTGTCATCTTTTCAATACGATATATTGTACATAATGACAAGTTCAGTACAAAATTAAAACAAATTTACGATTCTATACATAATTAAAACAGTTAGATATTGTCATCTTACAGGATTATTTGAATTAAAACAAATTTACGATATTCAGCACAAGTTCAGTACAAAATTAAAACAAATTTACAAATTTAGTGAATGATACGCTTGTGGTATTGATGGTTGTATTTTATTTGCATTTTGATAAAATCAAGATAAATAACTTAGTCATTGTTAGCTATTATAAAATGAACTTGGTTGTGATAAGTGGGGTCGTACTTTTTTCATGTGAAATTGAGACAATTTAACAATAACTCTATTTCATTGAACTTTGATAACATTACCACAAGCGCATGCTCTTATCCACTAACAACATTGATTTTCTTAGATAGATAGCCCAAATAATTATTTTATCATACGAATAAATTGAAACTTGTAGCAGCTCCAATCAAATTAGCTTCTGATTCCTTAACATTTGCATACCTTCTTTTAGCTCTCGCTTCCTGTGAGCATGTCGTATCCATGAATAATGCAAAGTCTTAAATATTTAGAATTTGAAGCTTTTGCATATTCTTTTTTTTTTTAAAATGGAATGACAATGCTAAACCTATCTTACAAAAGTAAAAGATGATGAATTGGATCATATCGGTCGGACCTATACAACAACATCAAGCCTTTATCCCACTACGTGGAGTCGGTTATATGAATTCTTTTTTTCCATTGTGTACTATTAAAAGTCAAATTCTCATTTAAATCTAATAAAGAAAGGTCATTCATAATATTTTCTAACCAAATATTTTTAGGTTTACCCCTACCTTTCTTAACATAAGTCAAATCTAATACCTCTACTCTCCTAACTGGGTCATCGGTCGGACATATAAGACAACTAAAAAACAAAGTACATTTTTTTTTGTGAAGAGGAAGCATTGTTTTTAGGCCAGTGAAAACCTCGGTCGACATAGCATGCAACACATACCAATTTACAAGGATCAACACTTAAGACTTTCACTGCTTGCCGAAGAATTCAAATGAGAAACCTAAACAAGATGGTTACAAATTACAATTGAATATCCATATTCAGTAAGTGTTAGCGTCGAATAATTTTTCCTCAATGACGCCGTCCCACCAAAGCCTCGTGTTTCTCTCTACGCCACTTAGCCCGCTCGTCTAGGGTTTTCTTTTCAACTGCTCCATTTCTTTGGTGTTGCTTTGCTTCGCGTGAAGAAGCCGGCTGTTGTTTCTCTTCACGGCCATTTCCTCGTCGCTTCTTCGCCTCGTTCGACGGCGTCGGATTGGAGCTCACGACGGGAGCTCGCTCGTGGCGAAGGTAACCATCTTTCTTACAAGCGGCGCCTATATGTCCATTTGACTTAGCTATCATTTTGACAAGTGCACGATTCTGCTATCATTTTGACAAGTTCACCATCAAACAAATGAAAGGAGATACATCCATCAAGATATTCATTTCAATCTACATTCTCCTTCTAAATGCCTTTTTTAACATCAGAATGCGATGAAATTTTTCCTGGGGAATATCCATAGGGATAATCACCAAAATTTAAAGATGAACATTTTCAGTGGGTTCAGCTGTTTGTAGACAGTTTGATACTGAGCAATCGATCGGAAACCTGCAAAAGCTTAGAGGAAGAAGAAGAGCAGTAGAATATGTTTCTCATATTTCATCTTGGTTGCAAATACAGCTACAATAAACATCATATAGAAGATGACTGACAAAATGGTTAACAGGGAACGGCTGAGATCAAAAGCCGGTGCAGAGCATACACGGTTGAGATTAAATGTGACTGAAAAAGTGAGTGCTGTAGCAGAGCCAAACGTGGAGAGGGAAGCCGTCTGATCATAAGACCTGGAGCTTATCTAATTGCATAAATCAGTCATCACCTCCCCTCAAGTTAACAATGTTATGTTGAATTGTTAACTTGCCGCACAATAGCTGAATCCGTGTAGTAGATAATGGTTTGGTAAAAAGATCAGCTGGCTGATCAATGGAGGAGAGATGATGAACTGTAATTTGACGTTGCTTGATGCAATCCCGAATAAAATGAAAGTCCACCTCAATATGTTTAGTACGAGCATGAAAAACGAGATTATTAGCTAAAGCAAGTGCTGAAATAAATAAGGAAGTGGGAGTTGAAACCGGTATAACAAAATCAAGAAGAAGACGACATAGCCAAATTATATCAGTGGCTGCAATGGCAAGGGCCCTATACTCGGCCTCAGTAGAAGAACGAGCAACCGTCGTTTGTTTCTTCACACACCAGGAAATAAGATTGCAACCGAGAAAGACACAATAGCCTGTAACAGATCGGCGGTTAGTATGATCAGCAGCCCAGTCTGCATCAAAGTAAGCATGAAGCTCCATAGAAGAAGGCAGAATCGGAAGCCCAACTTGCATAGTACCACGTAAGTAACAAAATACTTGTTTAAGCAATTGATAATGCAGTAAATATGGTTTATGCATATGCTAGCACATAAAATTAACAGCAAAGGAGAGATCAGGACGCGTAATGGTTAGATATTGCAATGAACCAACTAATTGCCTATATAATTCTGGTTTAGAAAAGAGCTCGGCAGAAGCAGTAAGAGGAGGAATTTTAGTTGGTAGAGGAGTCAAAATCGTCTTAAAGTCCTTTATTCCTGATCTTTCAAGAAGCTAAACAACATACAAGTGTTGAGAGAGGTGAAATCCGTCCTGAAGTTGCTGAACTTGAACCCAGAAAAGTTGAGACTGGTCTAAGATTGCGAACTTGGAATCGAGACTGCAAAGCCTGTAAGAGAGAATCAATCGCTGAAGGTTGATTACCCGTGAGGAGAATGTCATCTACATAAACCAGAATGTAGAGTTGAAGATCATCCTTATGAAGCCGGAGAAGGGACGGGTCAGCAGAGCTGACCGTGAAACCAAAGTCAGTGAGAAATGTTGTAAATGTGGCAAACCATTGCCACGGCGCTTGCTTTAAACCGTAAAGGGCCTTTTTTAGAAGACACACATGATTGGGGTGCTGAGGATCGGTAAATCCCGGAGGCTGCATCATATAAACGGTTTCATCTAGCATGCCATGTAATAAGGCATTGGAGACATCAAGCTGTAAGATAGGCCAATGGCGAGTGACAGCCACAGTAAACAGGACGCGAATCGTTGGAAATTTGGCAACAGGGCTAAATGTATCAAAATAATCTATGACATATTCCTGATCAAAGCCGCGAGCAACCAATCGAGCTTTATAACGAACTACGGAACCATCAGAGTTAAATTTAGTCTGATAAATCCATTTACTGCCAAGAACATTAAGTTGAGGATTGGAAGGAACTAAAGCCCAGGTTCCTTGACTTTGAAGGGCCTCAAACTCAAATGACATGGCTCAGCTCCATTCAGGATATTTGACAGCCTGAGAAAAGCAAGTTGGCTGAACTGGAATAACAGTGTGATTCATATCAAAAATTGGTTTCGGTTTACGGGTGCCACCACGGGATCGAGTAACCATTGGATGAGACAGGTGGAGGAGCTGGGTGAGTTGGAAGTTGATCAGTAAACGATGGAGGCAGAGGAGGAGATACAGGAATGTTGAGACTGGGTTCTGACTCTGATGGTAGTGGTGGAGGCTGAAGTATCTGAGAAGCAGATTGAGAAGATGCAGAAGCAAGAACAAGTAGTGAAGGTGGCAGTCTGGCAGAGGCTGCTGTGGTTGAGAAAGAGATGGTTGCCCCAACGAATGGAAGGGATAAATAGTTTCAAAAAATGTAACATGCCGAGACAAATGTATGCGACCTGTAAGTGAATTGAAACATTTATATCCTTTGGTGGCATCGGCATAACCAGAAAAACACATGGATATGCTCTTGGCTGAAATTTATTGTGAAGATGTGTAGGTTGCCATGGATAACATAAGCAGCCAAACACGCGGAACAGAGAATAGTCTGGTGGAGATTGATACAGACGCTCATAAGGAGAACTATTTCGAAGCAATTTGGACGGTAAGCGATTTATAGTAAAGGCCGCAGTTGCCAAAGCTTCAGGCCAAAAATGATTTGGTAAGTTTGCATGAAATAGAAGAGCTCTGACAGTTTCAAGAAGATGCCTGTGTTTTATCTCGGCAACGCCGTTTTGCTGCGGCGTATAAGGACAGGTAACTTGATGAACAATGCCACATTTGTTGAGATGAGATGTAAATGAATGATTTACAAATTCACCTCCACCATCAGTTCTTAACATTTTGATGCATTGATTAAACTATTTTTATACTAGTGATTGAAAAATAAGAAAAACAGAAAATGATTCAGATTTGGCACGCAAAGGATAAACCCAACAAAAACGAGTGTAATCATCAATAAACAAAAGATAATATCTATATCCTTGAAGAGAAAGAGTAGGGGAAGGACCCCATACATCGGAGTGAACAAGCTGTAAACAGTGTGTAGTTTTAGGAGTAGATAATATAAAAGGTAACCTATGAGCTTTTGCTCGCACGCAGGCAGAACAATGAAAGCTAGAAGATAATAAGCTAACTGGAAGAAGTTGCAATGTGGAACGAGAAGCATGCCCAAGGCGGTGATGCCAGATAGCCGGAGAAGAAGCAGTAGATGATACGGTTGAAACCAAAGTAGTGGACGAAGCTGAGGAGTCAGCTAGAGGGAGCATAATGGGATAGAGACCTTGTTGACAGGGACCGTGAAGGAGAGACCGGTGAGTCTGTTTGTCCTTAATGACAAAACCATTTGCATCAAAGACAATAAAATAAGGGTTATCAGCAGTTAATTTATTAACAGAGATAAGATTATGTGAGAGATGAGGGACATGTAGGACATGATTTAGACGAAGCTTACGGGAAGGGGTCGGTAAGAGTCCTTGACCAGAATTTGCAATAGGCAGAGCTTGGCCATTTCCAACCTGAACATAAGAAGAACTGGTATACGGTTGTCGTAGATGCAGTTGTTGAAGATTGGAGGTCAGATGAGAGGTTGCACCATAATCAAGGAACCAGTCATCAGTGGAGGCTTGTTCACTCGCAACATAAGCCTGTTGAGGTGGTTGATAGGATAGATCTGCTCCGTACCAACATTGGAACGCAGAATGCCCTGTTATTGTGCAGATCTGACACTGAATAGAAGAACGAGGATGCCTTCCACCACGGAACGACTTGGAAGAGTTGCGGCCACCAGGATTTGGTGCAGGAGACGATCTGCCACGATTGTTCTGTACAAAAGAAGCTCGGCCACGAGATCTACCACGAACAGCTTGAAGAGCAAAGGTTTTGTCATGAGAAGGAGCCGAGGTATCAATCGGATTATCCTTGTGAAGACTAAGTTCTTCACTACACATAAGCGAATAAAAATCATCCAGACCGATAGGTCCTAGCTGTGTTCTTATAGCAGTCTTAAAAGCATTGTATGCAGGAGGCAAGCCATTAAGAGTGTACATCAAAATGTCCTCGGAGTCAATAGTGTTTCCTCCAGCAGCTATAGCATCCACTCTCTGCTTGATCTCCGATAGGTATTGGACCATGGTTTTGTCTCCCTTTTGAAGATGATGTAATTCACTCTTTAAATGGAGTTGCCTTGAGCGATTTGTAGACTATAATCGCTTTTCAATGACTGTCCAAACCTCAGGACAGGAATCTAGATTAAGAACATATGGTAGCAAAGGCTATGAAATCGTGGAGTAAATTGTAGCAGACAGATTCTGATCTATCAACATCCATGTTTGATAATCAGGATTAAGACTAGTTGTTCCATTAGATTGAAGAAGATGCTTATGTGGTTTGACAGTTGTGCCATCTAAATAGCCAACGAAGCCATTCGCCGCAAACAGCTTCTGGATTTGAGATTTCCAAATAGGATGATTCTCTGGAGTGAGTTGAGTGCTGATGATCGATTTCACATTCATTATTAAGAACTTGAGCTGTGTCGGAATTTCTGTAGTACTCATTTTGATCGGAGCTGAGGGCGAAGGAGAGAGGGAGGACGCGGAAGCAGATGACTCCATTGCTGCTAAAGGGAGAGGTCAATAGAAGAGCTCTGATACCATGTAGACAGTTTGATACCGAGCAATCGATCGGAAACCTTCAAAAGCTTAGAGGAAGAAGAAGAGCAGTAGAATATGTTTCTCATATTTCATCTTGGTTGCAAATACAACTACAGTAAACATCATATAGAAGATGACTGACAAAACGGTTAACAGGGAACGGCTGAGATCAAAAGCCGGTGCAGAGCATACACGGTTGAGATTAAATGTGACTGAAAAAGTGAGTGTTGAAGCAGAGCCAAAGGTGGAGAGGGAAGCCGTCTGATCATAAGAGTTGGAGCTTATCTAATTTCATAAATCAGCTATCACTGTTGACTTATCAATTATAAGCTTTATAAAATCAGAAGTACGATGAGGAAGCAAATACAACATGAATTAAAAATCAGAACTGTTTCAATTCATAGTTGCTTGATAAAGTTAGTGATACTATATGTTTATGGCAACATGTTCATTGCATTCTACTACTTCAATTTTTTTAAGTTGTCCCACAGCAGTTACTTTAGTAGAATTAGGAGAATATCACTATGCTTCACCCCTTTTTGAAAATCTAATCAAGGTTTGTGAGATCTTCTATTATGAGCATGCTCGTTATTGCTTTCACTTATATTCTGTAATTTATTGTTTTTAAGTCACGAAGAGCTGATTTCCAGGATCTTGATTATTTGCTTCTCTAGGTTCTATGCAATATACAGTTGAATTCTTTACCTTCATTATATACTGAAAACGACTAAACTGAGATGTAACATGTTGATTCATATAGAAAGTAGCTTCATGTCATGCCTAAGCACCAAGTTATTGGTTGAATGCATCTAAGTAAACTATCTAAATTCACTTTTATTAAAGGCATCATATTAAATCTGAATTCTTATATGCTGTAATACACATTGGCGTAGTTGCAACTGGTCCACAGATCAAAAACAACACCATGTCTGCACCATTGGAAGAAATTTAAAGTTTTATGTTGGTTATAAAAGAGATAAAAATGTACAAAGCTGATGCAACCTAAGTTTCTAAATATTTTATGGAGAACACTTAAGAAAGCAATTGAAATATTCTTCCTTTCAATAAAGCATAAACATCAACATGTTAAAAAAATTAAAAATAAAAATAAGTTTTAAAAAGCAGCTTACGTAATCTGTAGGGAAAACACATAAGAAAATATAAATAAGGCTACCCTAAGAACAACCAACAGTGGTCACCTCACATGCAAAGCTCAAAAAAATTAGGACATGTGCTCATAGGAAAGATCTAACATGGAATCCACCACTGAAACGATCTGGCCCAAGTCCACCCTCCTTTAGCAAATACCAACCAAAACGTGACAGCAAGCACCACTAAGCTCACAAGAGAAGACAAATACCGATGGGGCGAGACTTGTGAAAAGAGAAGAAGAGGTAGAAAACCGAGACGAAGAAGTAGAGGTAAAGGGGAAAGGAGGCTAGCTTGCAAGCTAGAAAAACTCGCAGGTTTGTATGCAAACGCTTCACTAAAAACTCCAACTACAGGAAAACAACCCCTATTTATAAGGAAAAGAGCAATTAATGTAGGAAGTTAAAGCACCTCTCATCCAACCACTAGGAACACCATAAATCTGAAGCAAAATTGAAGGGACAGTTGCCTAGGGGAAATCGAAGGGACAACTGTTTAGGGGAAACCGAAGCATCAACACAGCAATCAATGAACACAAAAACCAAAGGGACTACTGACAAGAGGGAAACCGAAGCATCAACACAATAGCCAATGAACATAGAAACGAAGGGACAACTGCCAAGGGGGAAAAATGAGAAAAAAAAAACACCCACCAGGAATCAACCCAGCAACTAACCAAGAGAAAACCCAAAGACACAAAGTGGAGGAAAGGGAGAGAAATTCCTAAGATCACCAACCTAGCATGATCATTGGTTGCCTTCCATCATAGGGCAACCAAAATAAAAATTACAATACATAATCAACCAAAATTCATAAAAAGGTATATAAATATTTGACTATATCAAAAGAGAAAAATTAATATATTGTAAATAAATCATACCTTCCACGCAATTATAATACTTTTAAATATTCTTCCTCGATCCTATCCGAAACAAGAAGGTAATAAATCAAAATAATCATCGCTTATGAATATTCATAACTGTATAAAGCATTACCGAGTTTATATTCTCCGGCTATTTACCCAAGCCTTTAAAAAGAGTTTTTTTTTTTTTAAAGAACATTTTAGGATTTTTCAATATTTTTTCACTGTATTTCAGGAGGCACAACATAGGCTCTTTGTATGAATAATAAACACATTACAGTAGAACAAAGGCAAGGCGAGCATATCAATTTGAATGATTAAATTTGAAAATTTAAACGAGAAATTATTTATGCTTGAATATTTTTCTCCCTGATCGGGAAGGCCTATGTGTTTCATGAACTTCTCAAAAATACTTGTTCAAGACTATTAAGATACTTTCAAAACATCATGTTTGATGAAGAGAAAAGATATCCAAATATTGTTGTCTTCAATGACCAAACTAACACCAAAGGATTAGGTTGTTCTTTGATTTGGCTTAACCAAAATACTTAACATACTCCTTACGTATATGTGATACCAAGTTGATACTTAGCCTCAAACACAAAGCTTTCTCAAAGGCCTAAAATGTTTGTAAGCTAAAATTGATCACCAATTCCTTTGTAGAGTAGGCATCTGTGGTTCCATTTTATTCTTTCATTTACAAACATAAAGCTTATCAACTCATTTATCCTATCTAAAACTTAGAGAAAACGACAAATTATAGCATTTACAAGAAGCAAAGAGACCTTTAAAACAATACACCGCGTGTTTTCAAAAGTGACATTTTTTTTCTTATAGAAACATGCAAGTATAAGTATTTAAAAAACCTGTTAGGCTTATGGTTAAAATGCTATGCTTAAATGTATATTATCAATGAAATAGTAACACTAAGTAGTACACTCCATTCAAAATTTAATTACCGAGTTCAAGTTAAAGTAAATCTTTTAAATCTAGCAAAAATAAAGATAAAAATAATGTTAATTATGATCCGTAGAACTTCTATGCTATAAGAGAGAAAAAGATCGATGAGCCCCTTATTGACCATAAATCAAAAGAATTAGTTTGATGTTGCTCGCTGAGAATAAACCTCTTAGTATGATCAAGGCTTTGCTAGATGTTTGACATGTGATATATCCGTGGCTTTGATGGTTAGGTTTTTGAGCTAAACCTTGAGGTCTAAATTCGTGTTGTTGTAAATGATCTAGGCGTGTAAATGAGTCGAGCTGAGCTTAAGTCACACTTGGCTTGAGCTTGATTAATAGATCGAGCTTCAACTCAAGCTTTAGTCTATGAGTTTGAGCCATCTCACAAGCCAGCTCGTTTATTTTGAAAGAGAGACAATAATTATGATTTAGGCAATTATTATAATAAAATGATTAAAAAAGAGAAATTATAAGAAAACTTATAAAGAACATTAAATATAAGAAAGTGAGATATATTTTTTAAATTTTTTACAACTTTGTACTTAAAATTCTTAATTCTAATATATCTTAAGTATATGATTCCTAATATATCTTAATTATATTTTATATTAATAATTTTTAGACAAATTGACTTACGAGCTAACGAGTCAAGTCATGGCTGGCTCAAGCTTGACTCATTAGTTCATTGAGCTCAGCTCACAAGCCATTTATTTAGCCGAGCCCGAGCCGGCTCACGAGTGGGGCTTGACTCACTTACACCCGTAAGTTAGTATGTGTGGTTAAAAAAAATTACTAATATATTTTTTACTATTATGAATTATATTATTTATTTTTAAATAAGAGGAAGAGATTCTTTTGGTAAAACAGATTGGTTAGATTTTCTTCAGACGAAATACCAAGCACCTTTTTAATAGCAGTATAAATGTGAAGTTGTAAACTTTTTTCCACTAGAAAGTTGGCAGCATTGTAATTGAATATTTTTGTTTACATATCTTAATACTTTTGAAATATTACCACACTTTCAAAATGGTCATTATGCGTGTTGAGCACACGTAATGAATGTCAAGTGAGTCTGAAAATGGTGATCCTAAGGTTTTTTAATGAACTAATTTCAATCTAATTTGACCCTTCTAAAGATCAGGTTGAAACAATTCAATCTGACCTTGAGCCGAGCTAGGCTGGGCTACAGAATAGCTCAATTTAATCTCTATTCTTGCTGAGTTATGCTCATTTCATTCAGTCCAAGCTCGGTCAAATATCTCCAGTATTCTTGAATACCTGTAGTAAAATTCTCCTTTTGTCTACTCATATGGTTTCTCTTAGTATTTAGGATTTCATCTAAATTACTTGTTTACTGCACTATACAAATATCTTTCTTAAACAGTTAAACTCCAAATTGTAATATGTATCTTGCATGGATCTAAAGCTTAACTTTATAAATATTTCACAAGTCATTTCATTTGCTCTTCTAAGAAATCGCTCTTTAGAACAGTGTAAATTCTCGGACTCTTTTTCATATTTCGTTGAGATCTTCATATTTAATTAAAACTTATTATGTTAGTGCTACGTTTTCTATTGTGATTAATTGAAGAATTGCTCGTCAAAACTATATAAGGAAAATATAACTGCCAAACTTTACTGATGATATTATAACTTTTCTTACCATTAGTTTTACAATTCCGCTCTAAGAGATTCAATCTTTTATTTTTTCTATTTATTTTTGTTTCTACTGTAATCACCATAACTACCGCTTCTATAGCTATGCTTCTTATTCTTGTTATCACTACAAAGAATTTTGTGATTTCTATTGCTGATGGTTACTGCCTGTTACTTTGACATCCTTTCAACATGGAATTACGCTTTATAAATCTCCTTTGAATAGTCACTATAGTGTAATTAGTAGTTTTCTGTGCTTTCTATTTTCGTAGAAAGCATGGGATCACTTTGTTGCAGGCAAAGTTCTTTTAATGATGCCAATGCTGAAGAAAATGCACGGGTACGTTTCTTCATTATGAGGATCTTATTATTGGGGTATACACTATCAATGTGTTGAAATTGCTTTAGAATTCATCCAGACTGACCACTGATTTCTCAACTAATCCATCTTTCATTATCTTCAGGCTTTAGAAATTGAGAGACGGATCACCCAGGAAACAAAAGCTGAGCAACACATACACAAACTTTTGCTTCTCGGTATGCTTATAGTATCTTCTATTTGCACATTCAGTCGACCTAGCTTTACAGTTTTTCTTTGGGAAATTTTCATACATACCACTTTATTTCATGCTATTTACATATTTAACATTCAAAATATTAATATTACATGCTTACCACCCATAGAACAACTATAGGTGCATTGAATGAAATATTAAAATTTATAGGGTGGTATGAGTGATAGGAATGAAATATAGGGGTGATATATTTGATACTAAAGTTGTATGTGATTGATAGGCATGTAATATTAATATTTTGGATGTTAGATATGTAAATATCATAGAATAAAGTGGTGTGTATGTAAATCGCCCTTCTTCTTTTTAATGTGTTATGTATAACCCATTGAAAAAAAAGAAAAAACAAACGATTTCATGATGCATATCTTAGATTATAGATCTTCTTGATAGTTTTTGGTTTCCGCTTAGGGCTTATTTGGTTGTCCGCAAGTAAGAGGAAGTGACATTTCGCACTTCCTAAGTCAAAGCTTAGCAAGTTATTTCTAAAAAGGTTGTTTGGCTGTCCAGCAGAAAATGGCAATTGTTTTTATTATTTGGTTGTGTAGGAGGTGGAAGTGTTCAACTATAATATATCCAAAAATATATGTAACTTTATAAATACATCGTACCTATAAGATAGATTTATGCTATGCTGTAATAATATGGTAATATATTATTTTTTTTCTTAGTTAATTTATGAATGCAATCGCATATGCATGTATAAATAGAGATGTACACATAACTACATAATAAAGCTTTAAAAATATTATACATTATAATAATTTATGCAATTTTTCATCTATATTAGACAGTATTGTCATTAGAAATTAATAATTTATTTTCTAATACAATATATACTAGATATTTCAATATATCTTATTTTAGCCTAATTAATAAATTATGCTTTAATTTTTATTATTGTGCATATAATTTTAATATAAATTATAATATATTTTATCATCAATTTTATTATTTGTATGTGAGTGTGAACATATGTGTGTTTTGCATGTGTGAGTGACACTAAAACTCCAAAATAGTAAGAGTATCACAGTTAATGACTTTTGAAAGTTTGAATTCAGAGCATGTGGGCCTGAAGTCATCAGGCTAAGAGTTAAACTAGGGAGTTCCCTGATAGGAAATGTCTTCTGACTTTCCACGTCTCCATCCTACCAAACAGTTGAAGTGTCAACTTCCCCCGACATCTTTCTTTCCATTACTATATATAAACAAACAAGTCCTTTTTTGCTTTTAGTAGACTTGAAAGAAATGCAAGTTTCATAGTGTCAATTCTGACAAATTTAGAACTTATAATTTGTTTCATTCTCTTATGTTATCTGTTATACCATTTATTCTTTTTGTGTTTCATATGAATTGCTAATTTTCTTTGTTGTTGACCCCTTAAAATTCTGGTTAATAATAAATGTGGTAACCTTATTATGCATGAAGGCGCTGGAGAATCTGGAAAATCAACCATATTTAAGCAGGTGTGATTGCTTTAGTAAACTATTTTTTGCTGCGATGCAGTTATCCTGAATGCTTTTTACAGCTGGTTGACTCTTGAGCAGATAAAACTTCTTTTCCAAACTGGCTTTGATGAAACAGAACTCAGAAGCTACACACCAGTTATATATGCCAATGTTTATCAGGCAATTAAAGTACGCAATAATGAAGGGTGTGTTTGTATTTTTCTCTTATTCAAATAATCAGGATTATAGCACTTCTTGAGTTAATTGCTTTGAATAGATAATTCACTTAACCTCCTTGTCAAATCTGTCCGTATAAACAGGTACTATATGACGGATCAAAGGAGTTGGCCCAAAATGAATCGAACTCCTCAATTTATGCTGTTTCTCTTGATAAAAAGGTTTGATTTTACCTTTAAATGTTTTCTTTCCTTTGGGTGTCTCTATGGCCAAGGTGGTATCGGCTGCTTTCATTACTTTCATGTGAACGCTACTATGAACGTATTCTGAACTTGTTTTTTTTTTTCCGCATGGATCCTTGTGAATAATTTATGCTAAAAGTTGTAAAGTGTAAACCATGCTCTTTTTGTTTATGAAAGAATTCTAACTACATTAGAAGTTTTATAGGCCTTAATGCCTTTGAACTAATCTTAGTGATGCTTATAAAGGACATGGATAGTAGTTATAAAAAATGACAAAGAATTTCATAAACCAAAAGTGTAGCAATTATTTCTCTAGACAATTATTGTAACAAAATGATGCTAACAGAATATTTTAATTTGATATATTGATCAATGAGTTTGCTCAACAAGTAGTCTTTTTAAGGTGCATATGGCTGAGAAGATTCAAGTTCTTTCCATGTGCATCAGGGCTTGAGCATCAATTTGCAGCTTCAAACCCCAATGATTGCCATTCCTGACAAACATATATTCATTTTTCACCAGACAACCTTACTATTGTTAACTTTTTGGCTATTTTTTGATAATTTATGTCATCTGTTATGAAGCCACTTGAAACTGCTCTCAAACCATCTGTAAAAGACCTAAAAGGGTAAGGTTTCAATTACTATTATTGAAGAGCATAGGACTTCATTGTATTGAAAAATATATTTTTTATTTTGTAAATCTTTAGTGTCCAGGATTATATGTTGCACTCAAAATGGAAGCAGATGAAGTTGTAGATCTACATTCTCAACCACTTATGATTTGTATGGTGCTTTCAAAAGAGCGCAATTGGTTTGTTTTTGTTTCAAATTACTTTTAGATAAGTTGAAATGGAGTTTTTTTTTATTATTTTTTTTTAAATAAAACATTCATGATTTTTTTTGCCCTGGGTATATATTATATGTTCATGACCCATTTTACTATTTAAAGAAAAAAAAAATGTAATATACAACAACAACAACAACAATCCTTTATCCTACTAAGTGTGGCCGGTTACATGAATTTTTTTTCTCCATTATGCCCTGTTAAAGGTTAAATTCTCATTTAATCTAATAAAAAAAAGATAATTTCTAATATTTTCTAACAAAGCCTTTTTAGGTATACCTCTACCTTTCTTAACATAAGTCAAATCTAATACATCTACTTTCGTAATCGGGTCATCAAAAGGATACCATTTTTATGTGACAAAACCATCTAAGGAAACTCTCTCTATTCTTATCTTCCACTGGAGCTACTCCAACCTTTTCACGTATATACTCATTTCGTATAGAGAGACAAGCCGCTCATCCACCTGAGCATCCTCATCTCTGCGACACTTATCTTAATATTATGCTTCTCTTTTAATGGCCAACATTTTGTACCATAAAGCATTGCAGGTCTAATCACCATCTTATAAGATTTTCCCTTAAGTTTGAGTGAGACTTTTTTATCACACAACAACCTCGATGCATTCCTCCACTTCAACCATCCAACTTGAATTCTACTAATAATATTCCCATCTATTTCACCATCACTCTGAACAATAGACCCAAGATATCTAAAACGCGTATTCTTATTAATGACTTGAGTCGCCCAAAGTTACATTCCCCCCAAAATAACTGTTAGTACTAAAATTGCACTCCATATATTCAGTTTTAAATCTACTCAAACGAAAGCCTTTAGACTCTAAGGTTGACCTCCATAATTTAAGTTTACCTTCAATTCCCTCTCTAGTCTTTTCAACAAGAAGAATATCATCAGCAAAAAGCATAGGGTACAACCTCTTGCAAATGTCTAGTTAGAAACTTCATTGTTAAGCGTGCTCATCTCGGAGAAATACTGTGATGGGTGACATCCTGGGAAGTTACACCAGCATGACAAAACCGTGAGACCATTAGGCCAAAGCAGACAATATCTTGGTAGTTAAGAATTTGAGCTATTACAATAACCTCCAAAATGTTGACTCACTGGTGAAAAGAGATTTCAAATTCTATGAACCTAACAATGCATGAATCATAAAAAAATCTATCTTCACCAAGCTTCCAACAAGGAGACCCAAATGAGTCATTTTGTAGTTTTGAAATTCATGTGGATTTAAAATTATAAGCTTTGATGTTGTATGTATCAGTTTATCTTGTCTTGTTTACTTTTTTTTGGCAATTATTGCTAATTGCCGTTGTTGTACTAATATCATATTCTCATTTATAACATTTCACTTAAATAAAAAAAAATGAAATTCTTTGCACATGGAACTGCTCCATTGCTTCATGATCATTAAAAACATATTTGTACAGCAATTTGTCCATCTCTATGAGAGTGGCTATGACTTTTACTTTATATCAAACTTGAAAGATTGCTTCGGAGCATTTCTATGCAATTTTTCCATCAAAGATTGTTTTATGTAGGAAGTCTGTTTTAATGATGGTATATAGTCTTTTATTCACCTAAGGTATTGTTTATATTCCAGTTGCTGCAGAAAGCAAGACAATGATTCGTATTTGTAAAGGGATATGGGATTTAATAGTCTATTTCTGTCATTCGTATACGTTAAGAAGTCCAAAACTTCCCCTTGATCCCATGAAGTTCCTGATATTATTTTAGTTGACAAAAACTGTGAAACTCTTGGATCAGGAAATTGGTGAAAAGGTTTCTGAAATTGGGAGCAGGTTGGAGTATCCTAATCTGACTAAAGAAACTGCAAAGGAGATAGAAGCTCTATGGAATGATGCTGCCATTCAGGTAGTGTCTTTTAGATGTATATGTTCTTACTTAATTTGATGTATAGTTTTAAATTATAATTGTCTTATAGATTCATGTTTGCTACTTCGCCTATTTAAGCTAGGTAGCAATATGCAGAAGTTGGTTTTATTTGATACAATGGTTGGAAGTTAGTTGATTAAACATTCATTTGCAGGAGACTTATTCTCGTGGAAATATTCTACAAATCCCAGACTGTACTCTATATTTCATGGACAATTTGGGAAGATTGTCTGAAACTGATTATGTTCCAACTAAGGTTCTTAAGCTTCTTTTCTTCCGTCACCTAAGAGTAACCATTCCTTTGTTTTTCATTTC